CTTATGTCAAAATGCCTGTGAAGATGTCACACAAAAGAGTGGCCCTATCAAAACTCCAACAAGCCTATATAAATTTCTTCCTTCGTGGCAGGACATGAAACAACTAGGACAATGGTCAAGTTCAAGCTCCACGGGATAATGTATATACACTAGCAAAAACACACTTCACATTTCACCTTTATAATCTCTCCTTCCTAATTAAACTTTTTTTTTTCATTTAATCAGTCAAGTTAAAAGCAGTTTGTAATTTTGGTTCATATCCTGTCAACATTGTTTGAGGAAAGTGAAATCAAGTCTACCCAAATTTTCTGTAACGTCTAAAATAGAACTGCATCAAAAAAAGCTATGCAACCATATTGAAATAAAGTACATCAAATAATCTGGCCATGCCTTACACCAGTGGTTCTCAACCTGTGGGCCCCCAGATGTTTTGGCCTTCAACTCCCAGAAATCCTAACAGCTGGTAACCTGGCTGGGATTTCTGGGAGTTGTGGGTCAAAAAACCTGGGGAACCACAGGTTGAGAACCACTGCCTTACACAATAGCCAATACATTCATCACAGAAACCATACAACGGATGCCTACTCTCCTATTCCTCATATTCCATGTGTATAAATCTTACTATATATAAGAAAGGCACATTGAAAATGTAAAAGAAAACTCAGAGAACATATTTACAAATTTGAAGCTATGACACTGTCCAGTCCAAGTGTATGACACTTTCAAAGCAATGCTAAAGAACTTTCCATTCTAAATTAATTTCACTTTTACTGTCAACATGTATCCTATATGGGTTTTTTTAAAATAAATATATTTGTTCAGATTCCAAATCCAAACACAGATTCCAAAATCAAAATTTCACTTGTCTTTCAAATAAATGATCAATTTTGCCACTAACAAGCCTATGTACGTTTTTTTTTCCTGTTGCAATTTAATTATATTTTGAAATCAAATGCATATTATGACCAGGGTTTTACCAGTGTCAATGGAGTAATTCCTACAGACATTAACAGCAAGAGCTTTCAAGGACAGGACAACAGCAGAATAAGCAGATCTATAATAAAAGTTTAGACACTTCCCCTCTGAAGCAATATTAGAGCCTGTATCTTTCTTTGCACTACACAGTCATGGCACTATGATTCCACCTTAATTGCTATGGCTACAACCTATGAAACCCTGGGATTTGTAGTATAGTGAGGGTCAGGAACACTCTGGCTTAGAACTATAAATATCTCTCCCTCTGAGATAGTAGCCTTGTTGAGACGCCATAACAAGAGTAACAGTATGGTCTGATGTTGCAAAGTTTTGCATAGACACCAATTTGATTAACATGAAAGATAAACAAACCTGAATATGGAGCATATTCCGTCCTTGCAAATTAGTTAGCCTTCCACCATTGGGGAGCTGAGGCCCTGAACTCAACTGCAACTGCATTGGTCACAATGCTATATGACAAGCCACAACATGTAAACAGAAAGAAAATGCACTAATTGTTTACTTTCACTCAGCAAAACATCTCTTGTGACATTTATAGCCTCTCAGATTCAAATATTTCAATTTAATTCATATATCTAATAATGAAGGCCTCATAATCATTTCAAGAGGAGGGAATACTGAATTGGTAACTTGTGACCCAAAAACAACTACATAAACTCGACAGACTGTAGAATAATACCTTTAATATTACATGGAGCATTCACAAGAACTTGGCAATATTCATGCATAACTTGTTGAACAGAATGTATAAAATTTAAATCAGGGATGGGCAAACCCGGGTCCTCCAGGAATTTTGGACTTCAACTCCCACTATTCCTAACAGCCTGAGATCCTTTCTTTAAAGGCCTGGCGCTGTTAGAAATAGTGGGAGTTGAAGTCCAAAACGCCTGGAGGGCCCAAGTTTGCCCATTCCTGATTTAAAACAAGATTGTTACACAAAATGGGGATGCTGAAAAATACATTACTGGATAAATAAATAAATAAGCCATTAGCCACATTCAGGACACATATGCAAATCCTTAGATTAGGCCTCTCTTACTGGATCCGTACTAGATATTTTTGCATGTTCCCCTTAAGAGATATTCTAAACAGCAGATACCATCTTCTCTTTCACACACCTCTCTGTAGTTCATTTCTTTTATGGGCGGGGACAGAAAAATAATATTTATTGTCCATAGAGACACTGCAGGTAAGGAACTGTATTCAAAGGACTCCTTTGGGAACCAGAAAACCACATGTACACTAATCTGAAGACTATGTACCTGGTGCAGCAGTGGTCCAGTATAAAGCCTGGAATTTCTGCTTCAGATATTAAATTTCCATAAGTACCAAGACACAGGATGAGTATCCCTTCTATCACTGGTTCTCAGCCTGTGGGACACCAGGTATTTTGGCCCACAACTCTCAGAAATCCCAGCCAATTTACCAGCTATTAGGATTTCTGGGAGTTGAAGGCCAGAACATCTGAGGACCCACAGGTTGAGAACCATTGCCTTATAAGAAATGCTCCAAAGTCCAAAACACCCCAAAATTTAATCCTCGTGAGTTGTTTAGACAGTGCCACCTTTGCTTTCTGGTGATTTGATGTACATAAACTTGATTGCACGCACAAAGGCATTTATAAAAATTGTGTATAAGGCAATTTATAGGAAGTATACAGGAATAGCTGTGAGTTTTCCAAGATGTATGGCCATGTTCCAGAAGCATTCTCTCCTGACATTTCGCCCACATGTACAGCAGGCATCCTCATAGGTTGAGGGCTCTGTTGGAAACTAGGTAAGTGAGGTCTGGGGTAGGAGAAAGAGCTCTTTGTCTGTTGGAGGCAAGTGTGAATGTTACAATTAATCACCTTGATGTCCAGGTTGGTTCATCAAGTGCTCTGCTATGGCTGACTTCTCTCGTTGAATTAGTCTGCAATGCCTTTCATGTTCCTTGATTTGTGTTTGAGCATCGCTGCATTTGATGGTCCCTATGTAGACTTGTCCACAGCTGCATGGTATAGGGTAGACTCCTGCAGAGGTCTGAGGGTCCCTTTTGTCCTTTGCAGATTGCAGCATTTGTTGGATTTTCTTAGTGGGTCTTTAGATAGTATGTAGGTTGTGTTTCTTCACCATCTTCCCTATGTGGTCAGTGGTTCCCTTAATGTATGAGTGGATGTTTGCCTTTACTCTCGGGGCTTGTTCTTGGCCTTGCAGCTCTTCTTCTCTTCAACCAGAGAAGTCAGCCATAGCAGAGCACTTGATGAACCAACCTGGACACAGCATATTATGTGAGAACACAGAAATGCTGGACCACTCTAACCACCATATCTGACAACACAGAGAAGCCACTGAAATCCAAGCATGTGAACAATTTCAACAGAGAGGAGGAAACCAGGAAAATGAACAAAATCTGGCTACCAGTATTTTACAAAACCCTCTAAAATCAGGACAGTAAATAAAGAACAACACTCTGAAAACAGGGGAATTCTAGACATAAAACAATCAGCTAACACCTCCCAACCAGGATTCCCCCAGGCAGCAATCAGCCAGGCCTTGAAGCAGCAAGGCTTTGAAATGGTAATCAAGGTGTATTGTCGAAGACCTCACTACCTCTGAGGATGCTTGCCATAGATGCAGGCGAAACATCAGGAGAGAATGCCTCTAGACCATGGCCATATAGCCCGAAAAAACCTACAACAACCCAGTAATCAAGGTGAGTAATTGCAACATTCACACAGACAAGACTTCTTTTTCCCACTCTGGACCTTCAACAGATATACAAACCTCCCTTGCCTAGTTTCCAATATACCTCACAACCTCTGAGAATGCCTGCCATAGATGTGGACAAAACATTAGGAGAGAATGCTTCTGGAACATGGCCATACAGGCTGGAAAACTCACAGGAATCCAGTGGTTCTTGCCTTGAAAGCCTTCGACAACACAGGAGACATGAATTTTGTATTTAAACTTGGGTCCCATCTCCATGCAATGTTACTGCATACATATATTACCAGTATGGTGTTTATTTATAACCTGCTTTTCTCTCTTAAAGGAGATTCAGAGCGGTTCACAACATTGACAGCATATATATATGCAAACACGGGTATTCCAAAATCCGGAAGGGGGGGAATCGAAACCCCCAAACCCTCCCCCCCCCCAAGAATTTGGATCAGGGACAGCCAACCTGCAAGGAACACATTGGGAGGGAGAAAGCCACAAGGGCCGCCTCTATGTATGCCTCCCTCCCTCCCTCCCTCCCTCCCTCCCTCCTCCCAAGGAAAGGACGCCAGGAGGCAGCTCCCTCTCCTCCCCCCCCCCCCCTAATTTCCAAAGAGATGTTTCAGGGCAGGAGCCCCAGCGGAGCAAGCCCGGATGGCTGTGTCTGCCGGCGTTACATAACCGTACCCAAACATCCATATGCACTGCTCTTATATAAGGGGAAAGGGCATTGCTTTGCGAGAAGGCGGCGAAGGAAAAGGGGAGAGAGGGAAGAGGAAGGGAAGGAAGAAGGAAGGAAGAGGAAGGAAGGAAGGAAGGAAGGAAGGAGGAGGAGGAGGAGGAGGAGGAGAAGGGCTTTCGCGGGGAGCCCCCACGCACAGGGAGGCAGCTGCAGAGCCCCTCGTTCACCCCCTTCCTGTGGCTTTTCCACGTCATGGAACATTCCCGGAACGGGCCAACGTCCCACCCACTTCAGGGAACAGACACAGAGGCGCAACGCGAGCACACACACACAGCTCGCCTTCCTCCTCCTCCTCCTCCCTCCTCTTCCCCCCTCCTTCCTCCGGTCCACAGCCGTCGCCTCCCCCGCACGGCCAGCTGCTGCCACCGCCAGCTTCTTCCTCTTCCTCGCCCCCGTTCCTTTTCCCTTTTCCCTCTTCCTCCTCCTCCTCCTCCTCGCAAGCGCTCTGCCAAGTCACCCTTCTTCCGACGCAGGCAAACGCACTGCAGGGCGCGCTTGGGGGGGCTGCTGTCGCCCTTCCCGCCTCGACCCCTCCGGCCTTCCCTTCCTCCCTCCCTCCCTACCTGGGCGCCTGTGAGAGCCGAGGCAGCGCTGCGTCCTTTCCCCTGCGTCCTGCCTGGCGCTCTTCTCCTCCTTCTTCTCCTCCTCCGCTTCTCCTGCCTTCTTCTCCCTCCTCCGCCTCCTCCTCCTCCTCCTCGGCTCATTAGTAACCATGCAGAGCCTTCTGCCGCTTCTTCCCCACAGGAGGAGGCGATTACGCAAGGCAGCAGCCCGCGCCTCATCTGCATACACTTACATGCTGGGTATTCCCCACATTCCCCGGGAGCAGAAGCAGCAGCAGCAGGAGGAGGAGGAGGAGGAGGAGAGGGAAAGGCCGCGCGCGGAAGACCTTCGCCTGGGCCACCTCTCGCCCTCCCTCTCCCTCTCTCTCCGTCGTTCACACTGGAGAGGGGAAGAAGCGGGTTGTTCCTTGGCTAGCAAAGGGGTGGACTTCTCCGGTCTCCTTCCATCCCTCACTAACGTTGAGGGACAGAAGGTGGTTATCTTTCCCCACATTATTATTACGATTGGGTTGTTGTAGGTTTTTTCGGGCTATAAGGCCATGGTCTAGAGGCATTCTCTCCTGACGTTTCGCCTGCATCTATGGCAAGCATCCTCAGAGGTGGTGAGGTCTGTTGGCAAAAGGGTTTATATATCTGTGGAATGACCAGGGTGAGACAAAGGACTCTGCTGGAGCTAGGTGTGAATGTTTCAACTGACCACCTTGATTAGCATACAATGGCCTGACTGTGCCTGGGGCAAACCCCTGTTGAGAGGTTATTACAATTATTACTAGCTGTCCCCTGCCACGCGTTGCTGTGGCCCAGTCTGTGTATATATGTGTGTGTATATATGTGTGTGCGTGTGTATATTTGTGCATATGTGTATATATATGGTTTTGTGTATGTGTTGTAATGTATTTTTTATATTATTTTTTTTGGCTTTTAAGTCTCTCCTGTTATGTTTTTCGGTGTCTTATGAGTGATGGTCACTCATTGGCCTGATAAGTGTCATGTGTCCAAATTTGGTGTCAATTCACCCAGTGGTTTTTGAGTTACGTTAATCCCACAAACGGACATTACATTTTTATTTATATAGAAGACTAGCCATCCCCTGCCATGCGTTGCTGTGGCCCTCAGAAAACAGAGGAATTCCAGGCATGAAACAATAGACAGAAGGGACATATGGAAAGGGACATTGATAGATGGAACAGAAGGTAGATGGATAGAACATAGGTAGGTAGATGGATGGTCAAAGGACACACACACATCTTTAAGGGACCAAAGGGGGCTGGGCTGGTTGACCTCTGGAGCTCACTTCCAACTGGTTGGCCATCTGTCAGGTAGGCTTCCTTTACCACCCAATGAGGTTGGACTGGATGGCCTTTGGGGTTCCTTTCCAACTGGATGGCCATCTGGCTGGAAGGCTTTGATGGTGTCTTTGCTGCAAGAAGTGGTTGGGCTGGATGGCCTATGGGACCCCTTTAACTACCATGGCTCAATGCTGTGGAATAATTCCACGGTGTAGACCAGGTAGGGACAGACTTGGGCCCTCCAGGGGTTTTGGATTCCAACTCCCACAATTCCTAACAGCCTTCCTAACAGACTTTTGGGTTTGGAGTTGTTTTTGTCGGTGTGTTTTTCAGTGTGTTTTATGAGTGATGGTCACTCGTTGGCCTGATAGGTGTATTGTGTCCAAGTTCGCCCAGTGGTTTTTGAGTTATGTTAATCCCACAAACGAACATTACATTTTATTTATATAGATTATTATCCTCTGTTGTTGTTATTTCCCTCTGCTGTCTCCTTCCATCCCTCACTAACCTTATCCCCACATTATGATGATGATGATTATTCTCTGTTATTGTTGTTATTTTCCTCTCCTGTCTCCTTCCATCCCTTGAGGGGTGGAAGGTGCTTATCTTTCCCCACATTATGACTATGATGATGATGATTATCCTCTGTTGTTGTTGTTGTTTTCCTCTCTTAAAGGAGACGCAACACGCGGGGAAAGCGGAAAGGGCGACGGGAGGGAAGGAAGGAAGGAAGGAGGAGACCTCTGCAATGAGGGCTTGCCTTCGTCAACAGACGCGGTAAAGACGCCTGGAGAAGACGTCGGAACATCCCCTGCAAAGTGCGGGGAGGGAAGGAGGCTTAGCTTGCCGCAAAGCTATTCCCGGCACATACACACACACAAACACGCGTGCAAGTGAACAGTGTGCGTGTGAATATATATATATATATATATATACACACATGAAGTAGCTATCAGGACTGTGCATAACAGTGGATGTGTAATGTATTGTCGAAGGCTTTCATGGCTGGAAACAGCTGGGCTGTTGTGAGTTTTCCGGGCTGTATGGCCCTGTTCCAGAAGCATTCTCTCCTGACGTTTCAATTACACCTATGGCATGCACCCTCAGAGGTGGTGAGGTCTAGGTTGTGAGTTTTCCAGGCTGTATGGCCATGTTCGAGAAGCATTATCTTCTGACGTTTCACCTGCATCTATGGCAGCCATCCTCAGAGCTTGTGAGGTCTGGATTGTTGTGAGTTTTCCGGGTTGTATGGCCACGTTACTGAAGCATTCTCTCCTGACGTTTCGCCTGCATCTATGACACCCATCCTCAGAGGCTGCCAGAGATGCAGGCGAAACGTCAGAAGAGAATGCTTCTGGAACATGGCTATACTGCCCGGAAAACCCACAACCCAGTGATTCCGGCCAGGAAAGCCTTCGACACTACATAGTAGTGAGGTCTGTTGGAAACTAGGCAAGTGGGGTTGATCTATCTGTGGAATGTCCAGGGTGGGAGAAAGAACTCTTGCTTGCTTGAGGCAGGTGTGAATGTTGCAATTGGCCACAGAGAGAGAAGGTATAAGCATATATACAAACGGCACAACAGTCCTATAAGCTCCCCCTCTGCCTGTACAAACGGTACAACACCCCAATATGCTCCCC